TTTGCTCTCAACTATGGAGCACAAAAACCTCTTTCTCTAGGTCACCTGGAATGTTCCTGCTAGAACTTTAGAGAAGTCATATCAGGACAGATAAAAAAACAAAATATGCCTGGGACAAGTGAGGGGTAAGGCAATACAAAGAAATATGATTGGCAGGGTCCCATTTTTGTATCATTGGTCAAGAGCAATATAGTATTAAAGAGACCACTTTCAGTCTTCGGAGCATGGGGAATTTTCTGAGTCTAACTAGGTCAGATGCGGATCATCTTTGAAGCTGATTCTGCAAAAGTCAGACTGGTTTCATGGCAAGGTTTTGACCTTGCCCTAAGTGGAATCCTAGGCCAGATGCTTGGGTACAGATTGAACCATGCCTTTCTGAGTACATCACAAATCATTTATGAAAACTCATATAACCAATCATAAATTGTTTGTTACTCCTTCCCAAAGTAAGTATAACATGATTGAGCTGGGTATACACTGAGCTCAGGTGATATTCACAAAGTAATGAAAAAAGTGAGAGCTTACATAGAAGGATTGAACTTAACTGCAGCACTGGATGTGTAACTATGTGTTTCCACCCTACTTTCCCTCCCTCCTACCTTCCTCCCTCTTCCCTATCTTCCTCTCTCTTCTATCTTACCTTCACTTTCAAGGATCATTTTAATAAGAAAGTAAAATGACAAAGTAGAAAAATTTGACCATTTCATCATGTAAAAAAATGTACTTTCATGTTAAAAACAACCAGTGCAGACACAGTCAAATCTTTGGCAGTGTTCAACTGGTAAGTGCTGAGATGTCTGCAGTGACCCTCATCAGTCATGTATCAGTGATAAACATTAAGGAAGTTGGAATATGACCTAAGGTGGTAATTACAAAGACATTACAAATCTCACTACATAAATAAATGTCTTGGAAACTTTGTGCTGTCTCAGTCTCAAATCTAGACAACCAGACTGGGCTTTCTGCAATGATAAGCAGATCACACAATGGCATTATAATTACGCAATTGGTTGTGCTGTATATAAGCCTAGTGCTAATTCACTTTGTTGACCTCTTTTAAAATTTTTTAATTGGCTTTATAAGAACAATCCTGAAGCAGAAGTACTCTGCCTTTTCTGGAATTTCTTTTCTTTTTCCAATCTGAAATTCACCCAGCTGTTTCTGTGCAATAAAAACTGAATCGTGAAACAAAATGGCCCTGGGAGCTTCAACCTAGATAGAGGCAGCTCATGATGATCAACCTTGCATATGGTGCTGGAAACAGCCAATAGAAAAATGCTGGACATTCTATATTATAAAATGTCAAAATAGTATGCAATTGAGTTTCCTTTAAAAGGCAAGCTGCTTCTTTGTTTATAAATATGCCACTAAAATTGACTATAGAGTATTGACAATTATTCTAAAATCAGTATGTAAAAAAATTCCAAAAGTCTTTTTAAAAAAAAAAACAGTTTGTGCAGTGGCAGCGTTAGTCAGGACCTTCTTCAAAATCCCACAAGCACCAGAGGTGACCATATTCCTATTTTATGGGTATCTGGCATGTCACCACCATCAAAACATGTCTCTCATGCCAGTGTATTTTCAGGAGGCTTCTAGAAATATTACTTCCAACATGAGAAGGGTGTCCATCCTAGCCCAATGTCCACTCAGTAGGGGCACATGGAGGGCCAGCAGTAGTTTTTGCTAAGTGAGAATACTGTTGGCTCTATGGCAGTACCCAAGAAAGTCTACAATGAAGTCAGGTTTCCAGAGCCCAGTGGGGTTAAGATAGCCTCTGGCCAGAATGCACACACACACAATTTGGCAATGCCTAAGGAAGTGTTGCTTTGATGTAATATTGCAGCACATTTTTCCAAGACAAAGTGTGTTCAGGAGTAGCCAGTATTTATGCATCTACATCTGTAACATCGGCATCTTAGCTGCTTACCAACTTACCAATGTGGAAAACTGTCAGCTCAAATCTAGCCATAGAAATTCAAGTCTCACTCTGCTATAAAGAAAAGTGTTCTAGGAGAGACCAGCTGGTCTACCATAGGAGTCACTGGCTACACTGACCACCTGATGTAAACATGCCTAGAATGCTAATTGAGGAACAGTATAAAATTATCTTACTAATTTAAATTTTGATGTAATAACTGTGTATACCAGATAAAATGTACTTTCATAATTTCATATTTTATTTTTAGAATTTAGCTAATAGAAAATTTAAAGATGCTGTATGGCTGTGGGAATGGTGGCACATGCCTATAACCCCAGATCTTGGGACACTGAGGCAGGAGGATCACTGTGAGTTTGAGGTCAGTCTGGGTTACACAATAAGTTCAAGGCTAGCCTGGGACACATAGTAAAACCTTCCTTCATATTTTTACACGTGTAGCTTATATTAAACTTAATATAAGCAGATCATTTTACATTTATTCTGTTTTAATCTCTTATTTTATATGTTGGTGTGGCAAAAGAGCTAACAGTTTGAGAAACCCACTGAAATCATAATTAGACTTCCTGAATAGGGGAAATAACTGAAGATTGTCCTCTATGGTAAAAGAACCAGATTATGCAATATGACTCAATTCTCGAAATAAAAACCAGTAACTGTCATGTCTCTCCCGCCCGCCCATGTGTGTGTTTTGGTTTTTTGAGATCTTTTTTTCTGTGTAGTCCTGGCTGTCCTGGAACTCACTCTGTAGACCAGGCTGACCTCAGACTCAGAGTTCCATCTGCCTCTGCTTCCCAAGTGCTGGTATTAAAGGTGTGTGCCACCACCTCCGACATTGTGTCATTTTTTTTTAAAATGTGAGTTTTAATTTATTTTTCTTTCTTTGCTGAAATTTTAAAATTTATTTTGCTTTGTGACATTATCAATTAAGAAAGTGTTCTTTCAAATTAAGACTGTATTCCTTTAGTTTAAATAATCTTTAAGATATTTAGTTTTAACAAGCAACTAAAGTGTTGACTGTTCTTTAAAAAATGGTAAAATAAGTATTCTTAGATGGTATTTGTGTTAAATATTTGAATAATTTGACTGAAATGTTTGACTTATATTCCAGTGAATAGACTTAGTTTTTTGTAAGCATTGGACAATCTTTAGCATGCAAGTTACAATTGAAAACTGCTAATGTTATTTAGCTAATGAAGTATATCGGTTGTAAAAGAGAGGGAATTATCCTAACACTCTTGAGTATCACCAAGAAGTGGTAAGGTGTAATAATTTAAATGACTGAATTCTAAAATACATGAGGGCTTGACATTTATAATGTTCTTCCTAAAGTTCACAGGGTCAACCAAGGCATTTAGCCCATGTTGGAATGAAATAAGCCCTCAGCTTGGGTTGAGTGATGATATGTTGAAATTCTAATTGCACCTTCCATCAAGACCCCTTTGTCTATCTTTGCTCTTTCCATATATGGGACACTTACCATACATGTTAAATTCGATGAGAAAGATTATACCAGGGAATTGTTCTTCTTAAATGGAAATCTTGAAAGTATTCTTAAAAGTTAAAAATAGCCCTTTATAACACTCAAAATGAGAAACACTCAAAATGACTAAAAAGGAGGAAAGTCAAATAAGAGCATAAATACTTTATGAAAATCAACTGAAAAGAACCTAACAAGTTAGATGATGAGCCACCCCAAGTCAGCTACCTGTCAAGGACCCAAAAGCAGACTCCAAGAAGCACCATTTGTCTCCTTCCCCGAGGCTGATGGAGGTGTGTGCTTGATATAACTGAAGTGCCAAAATACCCCTAACAGCTTGGAGAAACCCCAGATCTAATTTAGTTTCTCAGTGTAACTCTTTGTATATGAGTTAGAACAAATTATCATTATTTTATGAAAAATTCTGTGCTGTTCATTTTTATTGCCTTCATTTTGGATTTTGAAAGTAATACCTTTAATAAATTAAGAAAATCCAACCAAACTGTGAAGCAGTTGTTTTAATAAAATGTTCCTTTTCACTTAAAAAATTTAATATGGGATTTAGTGTAATTTCTATGAGCCAAAGAAAACATTTTATTGTGAGGGAAAAAAAGCATGCTAATTAAGGTCTAATACTTTACCTTCCCTGAAGTCTGGTTTAAGATGTGTTTTCACTTTTTTGTTTGTTTGGTTTTTTTTTTTCCTATTTTTAAGATAAATAAAAGTTGATACTGCTAAATTCCTTGGTAAGGAGTTTCATCATCATAAAATATGCATGTTCCATTCTAAGTATGAGAGAAAGACACTAGTTTTCACAATGAATTTTCAACTTATGAACAATATGTCTACATAATTGGAGGGGAGAATCCTTCTGCAAACATTTCCTTACCCTAATAACATCAATAATAAATTATCTAACAATGGAATGTATTGTTCTTATTACATTCAGACATTTTGGCACCAGTTTGCACAATGGACTTTTCTAGAACTTTAAACTTGTTATTTCCAAAGTGTATACACAAAAATGTTCTTATATGCAAAATATTATATGAGCTTACAAATGCAAATCTATGTGAGAAATAAAAAGGAATTAATCTTGGTATATCTAAGTCCCAATTATGTATCATATTACTTAATATTTTTTATTCTTACCTAGATTTTATTCATCTGATGGGGCATTTTAATGAAAAAGCAGGTGAAGGAAAGAAACAGCACAGTTTAATAACTTCCTAAGAATTGTAAACTGGCAGAATTTTATGATGACCATTTTGAGTAGTCTTATACACCATATTTAAGAATAAGACATTCTCTACATACACTTAAGGGGGCTGTGTACTCATAGCCTAAGAATGCTTCAACATCTCAACATTACAGATATTTTGGACACTCTACAGGAATATTTTATAACCATCCCATCTACCAAGATGAACCCACTGAAATTGGAAAGTCATGGCAATGTGTCTTGGTTTGAGTTGAATTCAAGGAATTGCCATCTCTGAAGACTTCTAAAGGGTGTAGGATGCCTAAGCTTTCCAAGAAAAACTATTTTTTTTCATTTTATCTCAAATATGTGCCATCAAAGGCTGAGAGTGTTTGTTTTTAAGTGTTGTGTTTTTGGCTGGGAATTTCAAATTTAATTCATCAGTATCAGTGATCCATTGCATGCTGTAGAAAACATCATTATTTCATAAAGCAAACACATGCACTGAAATTAGGATTACCAACTGGTATATATGTTTTTTTTTTTGCACCTCAAAACAGAATCACTATAGTGCATATCATGCTCCCCCACCTTCCTTGCTGAAGGACAAAGTACATAAAATGCTGGGGCTGATCTCTGAACCTAAGGGAAGCCAACTTAGTACTCTGGCAGAATTAGTACTCTGGCAGAATTGCATCCTGCTGTGGAACCCCAAGTCCCACAGCAGGGGCTCCCTCCTCAGCTTTGGGGTCCATTTCTTCCTCTACAGTCTTCAGCTTCTCCTCTGAGCTCTTCATGGCCAGGTCATCTGTCTTCAAGCCATCCTCCAGTGCCTGAGGCACCATCCTGGAGGCCTCCTCATCTTTTACACCTTCATCTTTCTCTTTCTCCATGGGCTCCAGCTTGCTTATCTCAGCTTCTACACCCTCAGCTACCACTTGGTCCTCTTGCATTTTCTTTCCTAGAACAGCTGTATTGTCCTTGACATCTTGGGTTGGAGATGGATCTGGGCTGGCCTTGTGACTCTCGTGGATGCTGCCATGGCTGCTGCTGGCACTCCCCAGCCGAGAAGAGGCCACCACAGCCTTTACTGCTGCCTGATTAGAGAGAGAAAGGTATACAATAGTGTTTCCATGGGAAACCCCAAATTGTAGTACAATTCCCATTTTGTTTTATAGGTTAGTGCTCAGTATTTCAAAGTAAATTATTTCAAGATTGGTTGTCAGCTAAACTGGTATTTGGAGAAAGAGCAGTAAAACCTCTTCATATAAATTAGAATTATTGGGTCATCTGGACAACTTAAAACATGAGTAAGGTGTGCCTCTAAGTGACTTAGAGTTTTATATTCTCCAAAAGACATTTCATGGAATACTAGGCCCATGATGCTGGCTGGTGTCATAGAAACAAGAGTGCAATGCTCAAACTATCTTCAGAAATAGTTAAGCCAAAGCTACTTAATGCATGTAATTTCAAAATTAGACCACAGGGGCTCTTCCTATTGGTCTGTGAAGGATGACACAATAAGATGTTAATTTTGGCCTCTAGCTAGATCTGCTGTTTATATAGTTAGTCCTAAACATTATACACATGCATCTAACCACCATTCTATTTATAGTCTAATGTATTTGAAGAGTAGTTTTCTGTGTCTTTTTTTTAAGTAATTATCTATAAGATAGAATAGTTTTAAAAGTTGTTTTCAAATTATTACAGGTTCAGAAACTTTCTGAATGAATACAGTTTCTTGAATGGTGCCTTGTTATACAAAAAGTAGCAATAACGTATGTGATAGAGGCCAGTGAAATGATTCAGTAGGTTAAGGAACAAGCCCAGGCCACGAAGCTTTGTGGTGGAAGTTGAGAACTGATTCCCCCAAGCTGTCCTCTGATCTGCATATGCCATGACATGCCTTTAAGCTGTGCACACACAGAGAAAGTAAATAAGACACACACACACACACACACACACACACACACACACACACACACACCAAAACAAAACAAGCAACAACAACAAAAAGCAAACCCTAAGTGATTTTATGTCAGTATCTTAGGAGTTGAAAAGCAACAATTTTCTCTGGTGTCACAGAAAATGAATAATCTAGTACTAAAGAAAGAAAAGGTATCTTAAAACAAAACAAACAAACACCTGCTTTACCTTAAGCTTGCGCCGAGCATTGAACTCCTGGAGCTTCTTCTGAGCAGTGTCCATGTGTACGAAGTTGGCTGCTTTACCTGTGACCCACGGGTGCTGGAGGGCTTGAAACGTAGTCAGCCGTTTCTTGGGATCCAAAACAATTAGTTTTCTGACCTACAACCATAAAGAAATATAGACTCAGAGAAAATGGGCTTGCCTTCAGACTGTGAATGTCCCGCTATTACGCTACCTGTTAGCAATGGCGCTAAGTACATGCTTTGAATGTGCTTACACTGTCAGAAGGACCTACCTCAGGAAAGCAGCAGCTGAGGGTGCCCTGCTGCCCCAAACTCACAGATACTTTCCACAGAGGACAAAGGATGAGGTCCTGACTTGTCTACTGACCAGATGCCTTTTGAAGACAGAACCAGCACTTGAATAATTCTAGGACACACTATGAAGTCACTTAGAATTCAGAACTCAAACTACATCTGTCATTCTTTCAGGGATTAAATGGCCAACAAAGGGGTTAGTGTTCAATCCCTTACTGAATACTATCTTATGACTCTCAGGATTTATAGTTAATTTTCTATAACTCAGTGAAAGCACTTGAAGGAATTAAGCTCAGAGCTGGAATAAAAGGCACTTTAGGATAAAAAGAAGAAAGTCATTGGTGTGAGGGTTATGACTTGCACGGTATGAATAACTTCAACTAATGGCAATCCTTTCTGGAAGCTTCACTCTTGTTTGCAAAGATGGACAGACAATGTGTTGCAAGGAAGATCAACAAATGAAATAATTCCCAGCCTACACGCATGGCTCAGTCACAAACACACTGGACCACAGACTATTATCTCTGACCCACGAGTGAAGAACAGAAAAATGTCCAAAGACCTTAGCTACTAAGGTCAAATACTTGGTAATCAGTAGAGCCGGGATTCAAACTCAGGTCTACACTGGGTGAAGCTCATCTTGTGAACTTATTGTAAAGACTACAGAGTCTCACTAGACTTTGGTCTTGTAAAATAAGACACTCTAAGTCATTTAAATATGAGGTCTTTTTTAGCTCTAGATACCCAGGAAAAAAGGTGAAAACAGGTTATTGAGATCAAACAGCAAGTTAAATAAGGCGCAGACATCTTATTCTCAACTTCTCTAAGCTTCTTCTGTTTCGTGTTTGCATAGGAGTGCCTGTTTTCTGTGCACACTGATTAGCATAAGGCAGGGATCTCTGGATTCTGGGTGCAGCATACTTTAGAAGGGCATGAGGAGCAGCAAAGAGGCCAGACAGGAAGCTGTGGCTGTGGTCCAGGAGGGAGTTAGTCTGAGACAGCAGTAGTGGAGGAGGAAAGAAGCAGGGGTATTAAGAGACGGTCAGGAGTGGGTTACATACCCATATAGACTGCCTCCTCCCTACTCACACTATAAAAGCAACAGATCCATGCAACGGCGCAGAGAGAAAAGGACCTCAAGGGCCGCGGCCTGGGAAAGGGGCTCTAGAAATTTGAGTGAGTTCTAGCAGTGCGGTTCAGCTGGAAATCTTTGTAAAGTTTGGCACACTTAGCAAATCCATAACTAGAAAGCACCTAAAATCCCCTTTAACCTTCAATAATTACAAAATCAACTCTATCACTTTGCCACATTTTTTTCTCTCCAGAGGAATGATGGTTGCAACTGTACACAAGCAGTTTCAATTGCACACAAGCATCCTCTACTAGAAGAGGCAAGGTTCTCTCTCAAAGGGAATTTCTTGATTATTAATGGGCTTCAGTATTAGCTTGAATGTGAAACAGTGCAAAGCAAACCATAATCCATTCTATTAATAGAGTGGATCTTGTTTATGATTCCAGTGGTGTGTGATAGGGCTCATGCTACTGTGGGAGTATTTTAATAAGTTTAAAAACTTTTGAAATTACATCTATTTAAAGCATATTTACATTTAGGTGAATAAGCCACATTAAAGCAGACTTCTGTGTGAATGATATTTGGACTCCATAGTGCAGTGTTATTTGAAAGGATCTCTATAAACTACCACATGGTTGCTGGGAATTGAACTCAGTGCCTCTGAAAGGGCAGGCAGTGCTCTTAACCACTAAGCCATCTCTCCAGTCCGCTCTCTATTTACCCAGTAGTAAAGACTCTGTAACTAATGATATTATGATGATCCAGCCAATGAGGACTGAAGGGATATCTATTTTCTCATTCTTTAAAAGGAAAATACATCGGTGTTCCTTTTGAATTAAAATAACTTAGTTATTAAAAAAAAATGATGTCAAAGCAGCCTGTTTTAAAATGTCTTTTACTATTTAATTAAAACTTATTCATCTCCTGTTGTCTACATCACACTCACCAAGTCCTTGGCATTTAAAGATACTTCATCCCACCAGGGGGAGATGAAGTAATATTCACAATTCAGAATTCTCCTGAACATGAACTGGTCACCTCTTTCATCATAGAATGGTTCAAATCCACAAAGTCTGGAGAGAAAAAAAAAAGAATCAAATATTTTTAAAAGAAGAGGAAGATCTCATCAAATTTCTGCAAAAATTCAAGATCTTACTTTCATTCTGTGCAAGTAACTATCTGTATAAGTGTGTGATTATTTTCTTATAATTTATGACAGATGATGTAAAAACACAACCTCGCCTGCAGGAATTAAGAACAGTAAAACCAAATTTACTTTCAAAGCTACAAAAGTCGCAAAATACAACAATTAAAATGACTAATATTATAGACATTATACAATGATTTTTCCAGCAGATTTTTCGTGAAGAATTAAAGTGTTAGATAGATTGGTAGGGCTCCAATTTAGTATAAAATGGAAGAGTTAAGAATTCAGGTCTCTACCGAGCCGAACTGGAATCCAGATGCAGAGAGGGAAGACAAGATCTCACTACAGAAACACACAGAGACCGCTGAACTGAACAAGGAGGAGTTAATGAACCCTCAGACTGATAGCTGGGAAACCAGCATTATGCTGACTCAGACCCCTGAACATGGGTCTCAGTTAGAAGGCCTGGGCAGTCTAAGGGACCTCTGACAGTGGATCCAGGATGTAACCCTGGTGCACAAAAGTACTTTGGGAGCACATTCCCCATGGAGGGATACTCTCTTAATCTAGAGGCAGGAGGGAGGGCCTAGTCCCTACTCCAAATGACTTGACAGATTTTGATGATTCAATTCTGGAAGGCCTCACCCTGGGGAGTGGGTGGGGAATGGGATGGGGGGGTGTTGAGGGGGTATGGGAGGATGGGAGGGAGAGGGAACTGGATTGATATGTAAAATAAAGAAAAAATAATTTAAAAAAAAGCAGAAATAGTAATCCACAAAAGTTAATAGGTCTGATATATTATTCTAGTTTGGATTTCAGACCAAAGCAAAATAAAGATAAAGCTATTAATTCAAAATAAAACTTCATTATTTTGGCATCACACACACACAGATATAGGTATAGGTATAGATACAGATACAGATATAGATGATATAGATATAGATATAGATACAGATACAGATACAGATATAGATGATATAGATATAGATATAGATACAGATACAGATACAGATATAGGTATAGGTATAGATACAGATACAGATACAGATACAGATGATATAGATATAGATATAGATATAGGTATAGATACAGATACAGATACAGATATAGATGATATATAGATATAGATATAGATATAGATGATATAGATATAGATATAGATATAGATATAGATATAGATATAGATATAGATATAGATGATATAGATATAGATATAGATATAGATGATATAGATATAGATATAGATATAGATATAGATATAGACACAGATATAGATATAGATATAGATATAGATATAGATATAGATGATATAGATATAGATATAGATGATATAGATATAGATATAGATATAGATATAGATATAGATATAGATATAGATATAGATGATATAGATATAGATATAGATGATATAGATATAGATATAGATATAGATATAGATATAGATATAGATATAGATGATATAGATATAGATATAGATATAGATATAGATATAGATATAGATATAGATGATATAGATATAGATATAGATATAGATATAGATATAGATATAGATATAGATATAGATATAGATGATATAGATGATATAGATATAGATATAGATATAGATATAGATATAGATATAGATATAGATGATATAGATATAGATATAGATATAGATATAGATATAGATATAGATATAGATATAGATATAGACACAGATATAGATGCCTGGCCACATTCACCTACACTTTCTACTATAGGGTCTGCAGAAAAAGAAACAGAGAGTGAGAACAGGGGCGCATCTTGGACACCTTAAAAGAGAGGGCAGGAAAAGCTGGAGCCTGCTCTGGGGTTTCCAAGCTTGCACTGGTGAGGGTCAAGCAAGCAGTTCTGGATCACAGGTGGGAAAAGTAGCTCAAACTAATCAATGGTCTTTCTAGGTCACCTTGTGAGGTGTGGATGGGGAAGGACTCAGTTTTCTTTAAGGGGCTGGACACTGACGCTAGCCATGTTCCAGGGAGTACATGGGCCACACAAATTAGACTTGGCTTCTTTCCTTTTCTTTCTTTCTTTCTTTCTTTCTTTCTTTCTTTCTTTCTTTCTTCCTTCCTTCCTTCCTTCCTTCCTTCCTTCGTTTCTCCCTCCCTCCTCCTTTCCCTCCCTCCTTCCCCCCTCTCTCTTCTCTTTCTACCTCTCTCTCTTCTCTTTCTTCCTTTCTTCCTCTCTCCCTCCTTCCCTCCCTTCCTCCCCCTCTCTTCTCTCTCTTTCTCCCTCCCTCCCTCCTTTTTTTTCTTCTGTTCTTTGGAGGAGGTAATGGGGCGGGGTGGACCTGGGAAGACTGGGAAATGAATGTGATTGAGGTGCATTATGTGAAACTCCAAAATAATCAATAAAAATATTATGTTAGGCAAAAAAAGGAAAACAGTCTTTCCAGGCATATATTATACATGCTCTTTGAAAACCATGTGGGAAACTAATGAATAGTTCAAAGATACCCTCTTTGATTCTTCCTCTAAGCCAGCCAAGTTACCACAGAGCATGGAAAAATTAAATGCTTCATGAAATGTGAGCTCCTGCTAAGTAGTCATTTTTCATGTCATATGTACTCATAAAATGTTTCCATGGGAGAATATTTATCTTGTCCAAACATTCTGGGGTCATCTGGGAGAAGGCAGAGCTAGTGAGAGAAAAAGCTTAAACAGTATACCTGCTGTGTCTGCACACGTTAAGTCTGAACTTGCTAAGACTACACCTGCTAAGTCTGCACATGCTAAGTCTATACATGCTAGGTCTGCACCTGCTAAGTCTGCACAGAGAACACTGCACCTGATCCATCTGTGGGAGGGGAGTGTATTCACACAGGGGTGAGTGGGTCCCTCACCTTAACCCTCCAAGCCTCCCTAACACTAGGGAAATGTTGCCTGATACTGGAGAAATCAGCCTGTTCAGGGGGGTCCTTGTGTTCCCCATTCTGAAATCCAAAGTCAATTAATAATTTAAAAGTCACAGTCCTCGAATGACTTCCTCACAGTCATGCCAATGGCTCTTCTTTGATGACAGAGGCAAACAATTGATATCATGTCAGCCTGAAATGTCAAAATGGAAGAACTTCAACCCAACCCACAGTGGGACTCCTGTGCGCACACATGGTGTAATGCTCCCATGGTGGTACTGCAATGGAAATTTAGGAAATCATTGGGACTGCACAGGGCCTGACATGTAAACGTGCCACAGAGGGTGGCTCCAAACCTTTGAGATTAACTGCAGTGTTGAAGGATGAAGGAGAGGGTTTGAGTGTCCGATTGTATAGGACATCTGTCTGATCACTACGATTATCAGAAGCCAAATCCTACAGCTCTCAAAGGTCCAAAATGATCAGTCACAGGCCTTTGTTTCCAAACTAAAGTCATCTTCAGAAAAAGTGAGGCACAGCACAAAATAAGTGGTGTTGATCAGAGAATTTAAGAGTGAAGTGTATTAAAGCAGCAGTTGTCACAAGAGGATGGGAAGGGGAGATGGCACAGCTGGCTCAGCGAGAACCTGAGAATGATCCCCAGAACCCACATTTTAAAAGGCCAGGTATGGCGGCATGCACTTGCAGTCTCAAGAATGGGAAGGTCCAGACAGTTTGCTTGCCAACTGGTTTAGCCTACTTGGTGAACTATAGGTTGATGATAGAGACTCTGGCTCAAAAATGAAGGAGCGTTCTTGAGAAATGATACTTCAGGCTGTCTTCTAGCCTCCACATGAGTGAACACACAAATACATACATATACACACATGTACACCTGCACCTACACATAAAATAACAATATTCTGTTGATGAAGTTATGAAAAGAAGTCCAGAGTTTATGTAGATGTATGGAAGTAGACCTCATTTGGACAACGATGCTGAGTTTAGCTGTCTAGATGGCACACCTCAAATCACCAGTCCCCTACTGAGTGGACATGAGTGCTAAATAAAGGAGCCCTGTAAGCTTAGTGGTACAGCACACAGTCATGCCAAGGATCCTTATCAGGTGGACTTCACCATGGTATGAACAACAGGTAAGTGAAATGTCCACGGGCTTAGGGCTGATAGAGGTGGGGAACCAAAAGAAATGAGTCACGAGTGGCACTGTCATTTTCATCCCTAACCTACTCCAGGCCTAAGTGTCTGAACTATAAGAAATACAGAAAGGAGTCTGTCTGATTTGGTAATGGACTGGGGGAAGTTGTTTTCAGGGATATGATATCATTTCCTGCTTCCTTTCCCATGACAGTATCCTTTCCACTTATTGTGTATTATAGTTGTTCAGGACAAATGCAACTTAATGTTTTATTTTCATGTCCCTCAAGTTCTCTCATAGCATCAAAGCTTCAACCATTCAGGGTACATTTCAACCCAAAGTTATAACCAGGGACATGCACATTTCAGAGACAAAAACAAATCCTTATTTGTGTAAGTCTTAGTATTTCTATTTCTGTTGTGAAACACCATGATGAAAGCAACCTGTGGAGAAAAGGGCTTATTTTAGCTTACATTTCCAGGTTACGAGTCCATCACTGAAAGGCAGAATCCTGGAGGCAGGAGCTGATGCAGAGGCCATAGAGGGGTGCCGCTTATTGCCTTGCTCCCCTTGGCTTGCTCTACCTGCTTTCTTATAGAACCCAAGACCACCAGCTCAGGGATGATAGCACTACCCACCATGGGGTGGGTCCTCCATGTTTAATCACTGCCTAAGAAAATGCCCTACAGCTGGATCATATGGAGGCATTTTCTCAATTGAAGTTCCCCCCTTTCAGATGACTCTTGTTTATGTCAGGCAGACATAAAACTAGCCAGAAGAGTGAAGTTTGGGTTTTCCACTTCCAATCATGAAGTACATTTTTTGGTTTTTCAGGACAGGTTTCATTATGTAGCTATGGCTGACTTGGAGCTCACTGTATAAACCAGGCTGGCTCCACACTTAGAGAGATCCACCCACCTCTGCCTCCTGAGTCCTGGGATTAAAGGCTTTCACTAGAACACCTGGCATCATGAAGTATTTTGCACAAAGCTCAGTAGCTAAGATTCTCTCTTGCTCTGCCCCATGGGAATACAGTACAATGTAACTCTGCCATGTGGGGACATAGTACAAAGGAACTTTTCTGAAACCCCAGAAGAAGCCGCTCTGCAGAGCCCAACCCTGTAGCCACCCTGACCTCAGGCTCCCAGCCTCTGAGACTGTGAGAAGGTAAATGTCTTTTGTTTAAGCCACCCTGACACACATTGGGTGAGGGTAGCTCACCTATGATAATCAACTCGTTGGAACCCTGGAAAATCTCTCTGCACAGCTGCATATTATTATGGGTTCTCCAAACTACTTGCATTCCCTTCAAAATGGCTGCCGAGTGTGCTTACTGTGCATTAACTCTTGGATGTACTCGTGTTCACTTTAGGCTTTCTTACAGCCACCTTCACCTATGATTCCCTGCACTATTACCTCCAGTTCCATCACCGCTTTGCAAATATCCTGAAATTATTTCTCATTGGACAGTAGCTCAGGGATGGACTTAGAGAGAGCAGAGAATGAATTACCAGCTCATTTCATTCAGTGTTAAGACCAAGACCCTTAGAATCTTAACATACAAGAAAATAAATCAATAGGTAAATGTACTTGAAATATTCTGATAAGAAACATGCAAGTTTGGAGTTTAAGAAACAAATAACAGATCTCTTAAAAGAGCCAATGGTCTGTTTGGCAAGGTGCAAATAAATAAAAGGAAGGAGTGTGGCAGGTGGACTTCAGTTTCACATTTATTATGATCATTAAATATTTCCTCAAATGTGAGTAATATATAGGAAAATCAGTTAGGGAAGAGCCCTGAACAGCTTTTACCCTCCAGGAAAATGAAAGAGTGAGAAGTAATATTGGTTGTGAAACTACGCTATTGGCACAGTTAATGGAAAAGGGAATGTCACATCAGTAGGGACTACACTATCAGTGTGGTTACTGTAAAAAGGAACATCACAAAAAGTCAAAGGGGAACCTTGGTTGTCATGAGAATTGTTAATTTATAGAAAACGTTATACAAAGTCTGTTTGAACAACGGCTGCTTTTCATCACTTACAAGATATAGGTGATTATTCCTACAGACCACATGTCCACCTCAGGTCCATAGGCACAGCCTCGGAGAATCTCAGGGGCTGCAGAAAGAAGGAAAACAAAGTTCAATTGGAGCATGCCCTCAACACTCATATTTTAATTGCAACCAATGGGAAGAACCAAATTCCAAACCCAAACTTCAGAACTCTTACCACCTATCTTCTCTCCTGTAACCACAGCAGGATGAACAAATTCTTGCCTCTATCTCTGCAGGAGACACTGCAGTCTTTGTCTGTCATGGGTGCATGAGAGTCATGGGTGCATGAGAGTGATCTCATTCTGTATCACAATGTCATGATGCAGCTCAAATAAAATGGGCACATTGTGTCTTTGCTACAAAAACTCTCTTACTCAAAAGGTGCTTGATACATAGACAAGGAAGAAACAAGAGTTAAGCAGTCAAGGGGAAAACAGGCAGCATTAGGCTTCTTAGAAATGGAGAACCACTTGAAATGGTGGGTATGCAGTGAGTGCATGTCTGGGAGTAGGTAGGGCAAGGACCAGCCAGACATGGGAAGGACATGTAAAACTCTAGCACAAGAAAGCTGGCACAGGAGCAGGGAAGTGCTGACACACATCTTGGCCTTGGCTGCAATACGTCAGTCCCCAAGGAAACACTGTCCCCAGTGTTCCTGAAGTCATGCCCTGAAAAAAGAGGCCTTACATATGCCTAGTAAGGTGTATTCTATTATCTGCATCTATTGTTTGGGTAGGAAGGCCTTCTCAGCCTTGGGATGGCCGTGGAGAGAAGACTATAATGATCTTTTACATTTTTATTATCAGAGAGATGTGGAAATCAGAAGCTGACCGTGTCTGGTGGTTTGCACCGAGTATTGAGGTGTGTTGTTTACCTAACTCACAGAGGAAGAACAAGAGAAGCAAAGCACCACTATCTGCAGAGAGGTGGGATCTATTAGCCCATAGTGTATTGTTTAGTACTGTAGATACTGCTGGGGCCCCTAAAGGATGAGTTGCTTTATGCATGCTGGGGGACCAGGACAGCACATGGGGCTTCTATAATCAGTATTGGATCTACTTTCTTCACTGGAAGGTCATCAGTCTAGACCAATGGTTCTCAACCTGTCAATCATGAATTCATTGGGTGGGCTGGGGGAACATCGAATGACCCTTTCATAGGGTTCACCAAAGACCACTGGAAAACACAGTATTTACATTGTGGATTATATTACATAACAGTAGCAAAATTATAGTTATGTAGCAGCAACAAAAATAATCGTATGGTTGGGGGTCACCACAACATGAGGAACTGTGTTAAAGGGGTCACAGCATTAAGAAGGTTGAGAACCATTGGTCTAGACCATTAACATGAGCTCTGGAAGGAACCTGTCTTCAATGGGCTCTGGGTTTACTGTAAAGATTGCTGTGGCTTTTCCAATGGTGGCTTTCAGTTCTTCTTCTGTGTAGAATGTGCTATACAAAATATGGACAATAAATAGGCAAACTATAACTGTGAAGGGGGTATGTGTCAATAGATGAAGCAGCCACTCAGCAAGATGCACCCTTCAAGGAATTGTATCTGAATCCCCAAAAGTCTTCTTATCTACAGTTGAATACAATTATTCCTGGAGGGGGGTGTGTGTAGTGAGATATTCACCCTGCCCACACCTGTTGCACTGACCATGTCCATTGGGGTGTGGAGGCAGGTGTGTGCATGACCTGGGGGGACCTGGTCTGGGATCCTGGACCCCAGTTCTCTCTTGCTTCCTGCTCGGAAACTGTCCTGCTCGGATAGAGAGCATCTGGAAGCATCCTTGGGATGGGAACAAGTGGCGGCCATCTCTTTCTGGTGTAAGTGATTTCTCCCTGAATAAACATGCATCAGCCTATTGTTTTCCCAAATTCTTATTTATACACACTACAAAAATGTTCTTTTTAAGATTTGATAAAACTAGGAGGAATGCCTCTCCTGTGTCTCTCACTTTTACTGCAGGGTAATTTTCTTTTCCTGGGGGAATTTGCACCTCTCAGAAGGAGTTCCAAAAGTGGACAGAGACACCTGCCTGCCCCCAGCCTGCAAGTGCTGTGTTTAAACCTCGTGTCAAGGAAACTCAGATTTGGCTGCCCTCTCCTGCAGAGCCACTGTCACCTGCCTCCCAGAGCTGGTCGAAAGTAGAAGAGGGAGCACAGAAGGCCTTCAGTAGGCAAGGTGAGTGGTATCAGCCCTTGCCCACACAGGCCCTGAGAACCTTTCATGAGAGCCCCATATTGGATATTGGCAGAAGCTTTTACATTTCCTGAGTTGTAAGTTATTTCTCCCTGAATAAACATCTATTCGGCCTATTTGTTTATCCTGATCCTTATTTACCGCAATAAGACTCGTCGCTTTTGTTTGCTTGTTTGTTTAATGTTTCAAATCTAAGTGAACTGGACTCACTCAGATTGCCAAGTTCACTAGAAGTTTTAGCCTGTGGTTTAGTAAGTGGTTAGCTACTGATTCTGGAGGAAGAGGGGCAGAGCAGCAGGAACCTTGCTCCCCACAAAGCCTGAGCGATCTCTGCCCTGGCCCTGACACTAGTGAAGTCAAAGCAAGCGTCCTGTGCTCTCTCCGGCTCTCTCCCATGGCATCCAGCCTAGACCCTGCAGCATGCAAACACCTGGGAAGGAAGCCCCTTCGCATCACTCTACAGAGCAGCTGCAATTTTTGCTCAACACAACATCTGCTTTCTTTTCACACAACCACACAAACACACCCTCCGGTAGCAGAATATTTCTCCATAAGGCATTAGCCTGTACCGAGTCAACTTTGGGGGTTAACCGAGGCAAAGGGAAAATAAGTTGTTCTTGCCTTCTGTAATAAATTTCTTAAAATACTTTTGCTTTATAAAGGAATGCACTTACAATATCTTTTATTTGGGGGAAGGCACAATTTTCTTTGTGTGTAGCCTTGGCTGTCCTAGAACTCACTTTGTAAACCAGGCTGGCCTTGAACTCACAGAAATCCACCTGCCTCTGCCTCCCCAGTGCTGGGATTAAATTCTTGTACTACCACTGCCCACCTTACAATTTATAATATCTTAACTGCAATATAAAATTAAGGTAAAATAAAGTCTAAACCAATTTCCATTTTCAATCAATTAACAATTTTAAATAGTATAAAATCTAAATCAAATAACCATCTTAAGTAGTATAAAGTATTTTCAAGTACTAGTTAGTATGACCTTGGTTCTCTTTGGAGTCAGCTGGTATCACTTATAATATATCTGAACCCTTACAGAAAGCCATTTCCAAAAGCTTTTCAAAATCAATTTCATGTTCTGGAACACCAATCTTCCAGTCTCCAAGGTATCAGATGTCCTCACAATTGATTCTAGCAATTTGACATCTCCTTAGAGTAAGAAATAATGGAGAAGCAGTCAGCTATTGTCTGCTTGGTAAAGATATCACACCAGATGTGGGGGCGCACGCCTGTAATCCAGCACTAGACAGTGGGAGGCAGGTGGACCCGAAATTCAAAGTCACCTTCCACATACAGGAGTTTGAGGCCAGCCTGGACTACAAGAGACTCTATTCCAAAACAAAAACCATCAGGTAGACATCCTCTTTAGGATGCCGTCACACTGTTTCTCATCCAATTCCCAAAACAAATAAATAAAATCTAATGAGACAAAGTCCTTCCAGGGCATAAACATTTTGTTCAGATACACTGTAGTGGCAAAGCAGGTAGCTCAATGGTAGAATGCTTAACTGGTGTGCCAAAAGCCAGGAGCTTCATACTTATCACTAAAAATGGAAACATATTTTATATGATGGACAGTCAATCATCTTCTCTGATGATAATCATTTATTGACTTTTCCTGGCTGTCTTCTAAATGACCTGAAGCTGCTTGATGCTTTTTAAAATTGGCTTATCATTCAAATTAGCACCCATGAAACAGCAGTTCCAGAGCCCCTAGCATGCAGCCCAGCCTGCTGCTCCAGAGCCCCTAGCATGCAGCCCAGCCTGCTGTTAGAGACCCCTAGCATGCAGCCCAGCCTGCTGTTAGAGAGCCCCTAGCATGCAGCCCAGCCCACTATGAGGACAGATGAGCTTTAGTAAAGTTTCTGAGAATTCTCTGAATGTTAGACACACCCTTTAAAAAGTCTACTTAGATGGGATATAAAAACTACACTGTATGGTATTTATTCACTACCTCCTAGGTCACAGTGCTTTCCTTTTAGTTGGTTGATAGCATCATTAAAACATCTGGGATTGAAGATCCACCTAGAAATTGTGATGGATTCAAACAAAAGCACTGCAGCCACCTCTGGAAATGGCATGTGGCTTCTTACAGTGTCCACAGGCGCTAGACTGCCCCTCTTTGCCAGAGGCCCTCAGAGAAAGCTACTGGCACAATTTTGTTTCTTGCATGTGCCTTTATCACTGCTTCAGGTACGCTCCATCACCCTTTCCGACTGACAGGGCTAAAACCACAGAGTAGCATTTGGTTATAAGATTTTCCAAGCTACTATCAACTATTTTGACTGCAACAGATCTGAAGTAAACTAAAAAGAGTGGAAACAATGCATCTATCCATCATTCATTCATTCATTCATTCATTCATTCAATAAGTCATCATATATTTACTAAGCACTTGCTACATGGCAGCCAAGTGGGAAATCATAAGAAGCTAAAGACAGCAAGTCCTAACCATGGTATAAAAAACCCTGGTCAGAGAGGTAAAAGTTAATTAAAAATAAACCATAAGAAGAGATGCAAGGTGGCTGCTAGCAGTCCTTGGAGAAGGATGTCTTTGATGGGGGCTATGAGGGTCACACTGGTCACAGAGGAAGCAAAGTTCAAGTTGAGATATGCTGAACCTGGGGACGTTAACTATGCAAATGGGGAGAGGGTGGTTGGCCAGAGATGGCAAAGACAGCTTCAAGTGGAATAAGCAACTATGCAATGGTCCCACAGTAGGAAGGAGCAAGGCTTGGCTCAAGACCACAGTGGGGCTGAGGAGGGTTATGATCTCCAGTGAGGCAATCAGAAGCATTGACTTTCTCTGTTATTAAGTCTCTCCTCTACTTTAGCTTTAGCAAA